TAGAGAGACCTTGGAAGGGAAATTCTGCTGTGCGTGTAGTGTTAGGGCCGGCTGGCGTTTTGGTTTGTTTGGATTGGATGCAAGTAGGGCATTTATCGAGGATCGGATCGTTGTGTTTGAATTTTGGGATACCATCAATGAACTTGTGAGCGTTGTACAAGTAATCGTCATTGATATGGCCAAGGCGTTGGTGCCATAGGAGGCGTTCCGTTTGAGCTTTGATAACATGGATGGGTGTAGCATCAAATATCCAATCGTTGACAGGATGATCTGGAATGTCGCAAGGTAATTGATGCATGTGTTCTTCAATGTGATCATGCGCTCGTTTTTGATAAACATGGATTTTGTTTACTGTGGCGGTAAAACAGTTCTTCGCAAATTGATCATCATGACTGAGTGCTTTCTCAAGTGAGTTGTATGGTGTTGCTCGAGGGTGGTGCGGGAGAAGGTCAGGCATGATTAATGGTTGAGTGTATGATTTGCCGAAAGAAATGACACCGTGAATGATGATCGTTTTGTTATCGTCGAGTCGGTGTTTGCATTTGATGGTGATTTTATTCGTGTGGTGAAATTTATAAATATCGATCGTATAATCTCGAAGTTTTAATTTTGGATTCAAACGGATAAGATCATCTTCAGAAATTAATGTAGAGGATAGGGTTGGGGAATAGATACAGCGAACTCGGGTGTAACCGTTGTCATTGGCTGCTGGTACGTGTAGATATCCTTTGCCATGCGGGTATACGCCTTCTGTAGAGTTTATAGCACCGATGAGTTTTAGTTGACACGGGAAGTCTTTTGTGTACGGTTTGTAGTTGTGGATGACATCAATTAGATTTGTACACGTAATATCGGCGCCTGTGTCAATTTGTGCTCTAACAGTGGAGGGGATGTTGGAGGTATATACTACTGTTGGCAGTGGTATGGGGTGTGGCATAGATGTACTAGTTGAGTGAACGTTGACGACTTGTATTGGGGACGGTTTAGTCGGTTCGTAGGGTGTATCGGGTCCTTTCTCAGTTTTAGGTAGGAAAGCATGATGCGGATACGTCGGGACTTTTAGTTTGGTTGTTTGATCCAGGGATGACGTATCACATACAGTGTCAGGAGAGGGTAGAAAATGCATATGCATGATGTGAAGGGAATTTAGCATATGGAGAACAGGGGTGGTTAACGGATGATGGGAAGGGCACGGATCGTCCGATTTTATCGTCCGCCCTGAACAAAATCCATTTTAGTGTCATCAGCAGATTCAGACGGGGTTACGACGTTGTCGGTCATCAGCTGTGTGTCCTCGATTGGTGGTGATGCTTGAACATGGTTAATCGAGGCATTGGCTCTGTTCAGTGAGTTTTGTGCTCGTTTGTACATTTGACAAAAGTTGATGAAATTTTGACGAAGTAAGTTTGACTGTTGGAGGATTGGACAATGTTCAAATGTATGGTTTGATGTTTGTCCAGTCATCATATTACAAACGAGGCATGGTTTGTTGAATGAAGCTGGGTTGGCTTTGATTTGATTGATCGACATGGAGTAGGCGAGGTCGAAGAAGTTGTCGTCGACATCGACGTCGGTAATCTGGATTTGGTTTACTGATACCATTTTGGTTGCAGTTTCAGGGCGTTTGGAATTCGACGGAGTGTATGGGTTGGTGAATTTTCAAACTTGGTTTCGGTACAATGGTTGAGCAATAGCTGGGCCATTTGGGAGGTTCAAGTATTGCTGAAGGGTAGCAAGAAAATTCGACGGTTCAAATTTGTGTTTGAGATGCGTAAAGTCTTGTTCGCGGCAAATTTCAGTTTGGAGGAAAGACAAATAGTTGCAACCACTGACGAAGTGTTCTCGTTCAGTTTTGTCATAAACCGTTTGTTTGTTATTTTCGACCAACGCTCGGAGCAGGATGTAGTGGTTGTATTTCTTCCAGTATTCCATAAGGGATAGTGAATCCTGAGTAGGATGTGTTGTTACTAGCGAGGACGGAGATTTGATCAGGAATGGGTGGGTTGCACAGATGATCGCTTTCAATGCTTCCTATCCATGTCCATCGTAGAGTTCGACAATTTGTCGGAATTTACTATGGGAAGTACAAGCTTGATGAAGAACATCCCAGATGATTCAAGAGTCGGTAGAAATTAGTGTTTCGAAGGTTGAATGAAGATCATCGTCGTCGCCTTTACCAATGGTGAAGCCTCGGGGGTGATTGCACGCGGGGCAAAAGCATGGATACGGGTGGCAATATTTACCATAGTGGGCACAATGGGTTGTGAAACACGTGTACCAATTATAGAGTTCGTAGGACGTTTCGCCTGTCATTTTATTGACATTGTTGCGAAAATTCTTTTCACTTTGTGGTCCGAGATCTGCAAGAACGAAATAGGAACCATCTCTGGTGACAAAACCGGATGCCGAGTTTCTATTATCACGAGCGTAATTTCGGAGTCCATGGGTAAGTGACAAAGTGTCGAGGAGTTTGGAGAGAGTGTCGGTGGTATAAAACATGTTTGGGACCTTGTTGAAGTCGTATCGAGCTTTGATGCCAGAGGAAAAATTTAGGGAAATGAAAGGGTTGATACTGGTGACGGGCGTCCTCGTCGTTTTCTTTGGGGCAAGATTCTTGATTGCGTCAGCTGTTTTGTTCAAGATGTCGTTATTTTGTTTGAAAAGTGCAACGAGGGCGGGATCAGTGGGGCCAGGGCTGGTTGCAGCTGGAGTAGCCGGAGGAGTCCTGTTAGTATCGGTAGGTGGAAAGGGAATGTCACGGAAAAGTGCAAAGTTGTAAACGTTTTTCGTTTTCAATCTGTCGTCGACGTAAAAGGGTGACCAGTTGATATAAAAGACGAGTGCGTTGGTTTGATCAGTTTTGGATACAAAGTTTAGGGTGTGGTCAAGGTTGCTTCCTAAAGATTGTGCGCGTTTGTCTTTTGCCATTTCAACAAGGAGTGTCGTCTTTTCTTGCATGAGCATTTCGATACGAGTTTTATCTGTAGTGTTAAACGCGTTGGCCTGCATGTGATCGATGATATTTTCTTTCACGGTTGKGATGAAGGCGGCGGCATTGATGAAGGCATCTTGATTCTTGTTGAGGTAGTCAACGAAGTTGTTGGTGAATCCGTATGCTGTGTTCATTGGTTCAGTCAGTTCAGGATAACTGTGATGTTCAAGGAAGACAGCATGGATGTAGTCGATGTTGGGGTGGAAGGTGCGCTTCGTGCTTTTCATGCTTCTGGTTTTACTCATGTTGGGATTTTGTCGGTTGAGATGACGATGGAAGTATAAAATATATTTTTGATTCAAATCGAAAAAAATATATTTTATGGGAGATGTTACGAAGCGATTCGAAGTGCAATGTTATCGTAAAAGTATCAGTTTTCGTGAGAAGCTTGAATTTTGTTCTGAATTGAAGTTTTACGGTGACGTGGGTCGGACACGTGACGTGAAGTGGTCGCGCGTAACACGAGATGGTCGCGTTGTGGGAATAACGAATATATGGGTAGCACGCGCAAATGTACTCGTGGGATTTATTTTATTTTGTTGTGGGAATAAAAAATAGAGGCGGGTTTGTCGTCGCCGAATAAGTTTTGTTGATCGTAAAAAAAATTGTGAAAGTCGTGAGCAGCGGCAATGGCGATCGTTTCGAAATCGATAATTTCGAAGACGATGGCGTTGACAATGCGTATGCGTTGTTGAAAACAGTGTTACTAGTGACAGTGCGTAGGCGTTGTCGAAGACGATGGCGGTGACAATCGTATGTGCCGTTGATGTGTTTTCAAAGGTGTGTGTCGACGCTGTGTCGGTAGAGTTCGTATTGAGGAGAGATCACGSCTAAAAAATTATCACCATGGTGGTGATGAATTTATTGGAAGGGTGTCATAACCTGTGGKAGTGACTGTCCTAAAAGTGATGTAAAGTGTGTGCTAGAAAAAAAGTGAGTCGATGCTCTTATCGGGGATCAACGAACTATGAAATCTAAAATGGATCGCTGTGAGGATCGAGTGATGTATGAATCGAATGAGTCGAGTCACTCATGCAAGTGAATGAAATGAGTCATGTCGATCATATGAATCCAGTGGGATTGCGTGAGTCATGTATGTATGGTGTGTATGAATCATATATACGTATTGTATGTATGTGTCATATGTATGAATCATACCCACGGTCTGATATCCTACGGACAACAACTGGTGCGTTTCTTGTAACCAGATTTGTAACCAGACTGAAAAAAATGTAACCACACTACTAGTGTGATMGTGGTGAAAAGAAGGGCCTCCCTATAGGGAAGGGTTTGGTTACAATTCTGGTTACAAAATTCAGTCTGCGCGGTTTGTAACCACCAGGTTGAGGTGCATGTACTTAGTAGTACTAAGCAAAAAATAACTAGTGTTTGTATGCGCGATTTGCTCAACAAATCATGTACCAGTTTAGTAACCAAGCACTCATGGTTACATGCAATTTCAATGCTACTCAACGGTTACATGTAAAACACTGAAGTAAATACTGACCAATTATTAGTACTGGACAAATTGAGTACTGCATATTGTCCTATTATTGTGGGATGGAGGTACTAGTAGTACACTTTGCACTACTTTATTTTTCTGGAAATAATTGTCCAGTATGCAATGACCCTCTAGAATATGTAGAATAAGTACTACTACAAACTCCTTTCATCAGCTCAAAAATTAAAGAACTGACTTGAAAACTGCATGCCCTTTTGCACTTTTTGCTCCCTCCTCCTCTACTACTAGTACTACTAGTAGTAGTGACCAACAATTACCAAACAGGAACATTCTCAATAAGTACAACAAGAATATCATGATAAAGCTCTCAGTCTTGGCTCTCTATAGTCATAATTCATGCCCTTAAATGACTGGTACTGCTAGTAGAGTCTACTACTACTAGTAACTGACGGTACTAACATGTCACATTCATATGCCAAAAGCAAATGGCTGTTTGAACAGCTATGAAAGAGTTCACCCATGATATAAATTTAACACACTTAGTAACACAAGTGTACACCACTAGTATAATAGATCTTTTATGTTCAAAAAGAGCCATTCCAATTACCCCAATATTGAGCTTGTTAATCCAATCCAACTAAAGAGGTGCAAAGTGTACTAGTAGTACTCGTACTACTACTACGAGTAGTATTATTTTCGGACCAAACATTTTCAGTCTAACTGAATGCACGTTCAGTCATCATGAGATTCCAAATTAAAAGAGAGGACTTTAAGCGCCTGCCGTGTCTTTCGTTTCAATACAAACTGAAAACATTTTGTTGGAACGAAAAAATCACGGAATGGGTACAATTACGTACTACGCGCCTAACAGCAATTTTCGAAGGCCGATGGCATTGCTCGAGTGATTGAGATAGGACGATGGCATCTTCCGTATTTAGTGATTTCGATCGGTACGATGGGGCCAACGCCGATCGGGATCGAGGGGGTCTTTCAGCGATCGGCTTGGAGCAAACCAGTGGCAAAATCCATGGAGAAAGACCAGCAAAACCGAGAAGGGGGGACACGGGGGGAACAGGAACCTCAAAATACAACTACAACTTCACTCCCAAATTCCAGCATTCCGTCAAAAATAATCCGATGTGTGGCATCTGTTTCCCCCAGTGGATATCGATACTGACGCGGCGGCGCAATCAGATCGAATGGACCGTATATTGGCCCCGGATCTTCTTCATCTCTTTCATGTCCGTTTTGAACTCGGCCATGGGACTCCTGGACCACCTGATTTACGGCAGAAAAGTCGAAGCCGCCGTGATCCACCCTAGGCCGGTCTTTATTCTAGGTCACCCGCGGACGGGAACGACGCTGGTGCACAGCCTGCTGGCACTGGACTCGGAACAGTTTTGCTACTGCTCGACGTTTTGCGCTGGTTTCCCGTCCTGCTTTCTGTGGTTCGAATCGATTGGGAAGGTTTTGTTCAGGGGCGTGATCGACGACATGCGCCCGATGGACAACGTGAGGCTCGATTTCGATCTGCCCCAGGAAGACGAGCTCGCCACCAACGTCATGTCCGCGGGAATTAGTCCCTATATGCCGCTGTTTTTCATGAAGCAGGAACCCGAGTTTCGGCCGTTCTATGCCTTCGACGACGCGAGCGAAACCGACGCAGCCAGCAGCAGCAGCGACGAACGACTCGAAGACAGTGCCATGGCCGAGGTCCGCAAGGCCTGGATCGATTCCTTCTTGTACCTGCTTCGGAAATTGACGGTTCGCGACGAACTCCAAAGACCATTGAAAAAGAGCAACAACAACGATGCGACAAACAAACGGGGATCGGATTCCTCTGCCCACCGAAGCGGCGGCCGCCGCCTCATTCTCAAGAGCCCCGTGCACACAGCGCGCATCGCCCTCCTGAACCAGCTCTTTCCGGAGGCACAGTATATATATATCCACAGAAATCCATACGACGTCTTCCGGTCCGCGGCACACATGGCCGACACGACGTATTGGTACACCTACATGAACACCCCCTCAAACGACCAGATCACGGAGTTTATCTTGCGGCAGTACGAGATCCTGTACGATCGGTACGAACAGGGGCGGACGCAATTGCTCCTTGGAGAGGCCTCTCCCGCTGCTCCGTCTCACGGGGGCGAAGCAACGGGGTTGTCACCGAAACCGCAGCGACTGGTCGAAATATCTTACGACGAACTATCGCAGCGACCGATCGAAACGGCGCAGAGGATCTACCGGGAGCTCGGATGGGACCTGACGCCGGGCTACCGGCAGCGACTGGAAGAGGAACTCGCTGGTCACGAATTCAAATCCTACAAGAGAAACAGCCACAAGGTGCTGGATCCGTCCCTCAAAGAAATCATCAACGAACGATGGGGTCCCTCCTTCGAGAGGTTTGGTTACATCAAAGAATGAAGGATCTTGCAACCGCCGCAAGCCCGCACGAATTATTGGGTGGCAGCAAAGTATCGCGTGTTGTAGAGATGATCCATAGAAGTAACCGTGCAACAAAATGTCCATCAAGACTTTTCTTTCTTGGAAATATTGGCAACAACAAGGGGGAGCGACATAATACTTTGCAAAGCAATAGTGATTTAGATAGATAACTACTGTATGAATTGCAATCAAACACCGCCACTAGTGTGTTGGTGCCTGCTCTCGGACACGGCACCGAGTGGCTCTAGTGGTACATACTACCAATTTGCGGTTTCCCCCTCACCCCCGCTCTAGGCCGGATCCAGGAGCCTCAGCACCGCGCAGAGGCTCTCGTTCACGTGGAGCCTCCCGTCCTTAAAGGCCCGGGGGGCGCTGCAGATCGGGCACGACTCGCCCTCCCGCCGCTGCTCCTGCTCCGCCTCGGAATAGACGTGGTCCATGTCGACGCACATGAACAGGTCGCTCGCCATCGTGCTGCGCAGGAGCTCGCTGCCGGTCATCGAATGTCCGTCCCTCCGGCGCTGCTCGTTCCTCCGCGCCGGGGCCAGCCGCGCCTGGCAGCAGTTCCGGCAGACAGAGTGCCCGCAGGCCTGGCTGGCAATGGGGGCGTTCGGGCTCGACGGGTTCGACCGAAAGACCCGCGTGCAGTATCCGCACCTCAGGGTTTGCTGGAGCTGGTACTTGTGGACGGTTCCCTGCTTGCGGTGGTCCAGGGCGCGCAGCTCGATCTCGTGGTTCTTCTGGCGGGCCTCTTTCAGCTGTCCCTCGACCATGTACCGCTCGGCCTTCAGTTTCTCGCACCTGACCTTGAGGTCTTCGATTTCGGCCCGGAGCAACTGCTCGGTTTCCGTCCTCGTCGAAGTCGTTTCCATCGACACGTTGCACGGAATGTCCTTCTCGTTGTTCTTCGGGTCCGATGCTTCCGAATGCGTGCGTACGAAGTTGTTGGTGTGAACTGGATGGTTGTCGTTGGGGTCGACTTTGTCGGAGCGGCGGCCTCTTGCGGTGGACCGTGGCGGCGAAGAGGAAGACGTCGGAGTAATGGTTGCCGCTACGGGCAGGAAAGACGGAGAAACGAAGCGTTCGCCCCCGTCCTCCGAGGAAATCTTGCGGTTGTGCTCCCCTACCCGATTCGTTCTCTCGTTCGGGCCGGTTCGATGCTCCCCGGAAGGGACATACGCACCGGAGTGGCGGCCGTCGTAATCGACCGCACCGCGGCGTGTCTCCGCAGGTTCGCCTGCCTTCCCCCGGGACTCGTTCAAGAGTTCCTGTTCCTGCTCTTCCTCCTTTTCTTCTTGTTCCTGCAGGTAATCCTCCAGAGCAAGTATTTCGTCCTGGTATTTCTCTAGCAACATCGGATCGGACCATTCTTCCTGATCTATCGACTCGGTCGGGATGGAGAGAATCATCATGTTGTTGTTGTTGTTGTTGTTGTTGTCAATGTCGTCGTCGTCGTCGTCGTCGTAGCTTTCAAAGTTGCTTTCGTTTTCGAATTCGCTCTCGCTTTCGTCGTCGCGGTCCTTCTGCGATGAGTCCGTGCGTTCCCTCGGAGTGACCGGGGCTGGGCTCATCGCGTTCAACACCTTTGAGACCGAATCGACGTTGAAGAGATCCTCGGTGCTGCTCGAAGCAGCATACCGGTGCTCGCAGTCCATCTCGTTCCCAGCGACTCCGGTGTCTCTCATGGAAAACTCCTTGGAAATCGATCCGTCGGGATCGGCTGGGGCGGATCTCGCGGGTTGGTCCGCGTTCGAATCCTCCGCGTCCGCGTCCTCGCTCGCAGCCGCATCCCCGTTCGCAACACCGGCAGGTCCAACCGTGGGGAGTTCCATCCCCAGCCACTCGGCGAGCGTCCCCTCGTCGTTCATGTGCTCCAGCTCGGCAAAATCGGCAAAGAAGGAGGTCCGGTCGCCCTGCACCAAAAAGAACTGGGGAAAGACCCCCCGGATCCCCGACATCTCAAAGAGCTCGTCGCGGACCAGGGCGTTTGCCGGGTCCGAGGCGTCCAGGACCTCCGGCTGGATCCCGCAGGCCTCGACCATGGTCAGCGCCCGGTTCTGGTTCTTGGTCTGGACCACCGATCCCGAGACGCTCGACACCAGGACGAGCAAAAAGTCTTCCCGGGCGGACGCCGAGGACGCGAGCGAAGACTCGTCAAAGCTCAGGCTCGCCACGGCCGGAACCCGGGGCTCGATAGGAGCGAGAGGACGACGGTCCTTCGCAAACCTGTGCGACGTCTCGTGGTCGGTGATCGACTTTGGGGGCAACCGCATCGTTTGCCTGTTGCTGTTGCTGTTGCTGTTGCTGTTGCTGTTGCTTTTGCTGAACTCGGGCGGAGCGGACAAGAAACCCCTCTGGGAGTTGTCTGCTGTAGCTGCTTAGTTGCCGCGTTGTGTTTTGACGTGTTTTGTCGTTGCGCTACGAGATGGATCCAACGCTTCCTGCAACAAGACCGAACAAAATTCTCCCACTACACTAAGACAAGAATGTTTCCAACTTGTTAGACTCTTTCCCTGCACAATGTTCTTCTGTTGCGTCGCGTCTCGCCGCGTGAAGTGGAGCAAGGGAGAACCAACGCAATGCGAGTGTCGTGTCAGTGCCGGGTGGTGCTGTGTGTTGTGCTGCCGACCCGCAGCAAATCACGGTGGATGCAATGCTGGTCTTGGTGGAAGCTGCGCTGCCTTCCTCGTGTCCTTCGTTCGAGTTTTTGGCCCCCGGCCGTTCCCGGAAGATCCCCCCTCTGTTGGGATTTATTCGGTCTCTTCGATTGCATTTTTTGCGCTGGGTCGGGTGGAGATTGACTACACACATACTAATGACAGGCGGGAATTCAGTCGTGAGAAAGAGAGGTATGCCGCAGTTTTTTGTGACACAAACAACTGAATTTGGCCGCAGTATCGCATTGTAGAGCACAATGCTCCATAGTACTTTGCAACAAAGGTTTGGGTTAATTTAATGTTGCCGCGGTGCGGGACTAATTCTTGTTCTGTATGGTGCGTACTTAGTGTACGAAGTGCTGTAGTACAGTATGGTACTAGTACTTACTACTATTACGAATATCGTGGTCATTTCCAGTCGTGACAGTCACAGTCTTTCCTGACAACTTATTAGAAGTACTGTACTTCGGTATTCATTTAACGAAGGCAAAAGCAGACCCGGTTCGGGATGGATGGGGTTCCCAACGAGACGCCTCGCGCAGTAATATGAATTGAGAATTTAGAACGAGAAAGTTACGTTCGGTACTGAAAACCATCTTACCGGTTCGTTGCCCTCGACGATAGGAGATATACCGTTGCTGAAATCGCTGGGATTGAATGACAACGAGCTCCAGTACGGTCTACCAGCAGAATTGGCAAGACTTTCAATATTGAGTGACATCGATGTCTCCAACAATTATATTGAGAGCATCCCCAGTGAGCTTTTTTCCATGAATACGATATTGGCCTCGGGATACCATTGATATACCTTGACCTTTCGGACAACGTGTTTACGGGCAAACTGCCATCCGAAATGGGTCAGCTGGTGAACCTGGAGTTTTTGTACCTCAACGACAACAAACTGGACGGAACGATTCCATCGGAACTCTCCGGTTTGTTCATGCTGCGAGAAATCGACCTTTCGAGCAACGCTTTCTCCGGGAGTGCGGATTCCCTGCGCGGCGATCGGCCGAGCTGGGGAAACGTCATCGACACGTACACGGCGGACTGCCTGACCGGCAACATGACGTCTTCTTGCGCAACCAACTGCAGCAACGAGCAAAACCATTGCTGTGGTGTCGAAACGACAGGCTGCGTGGGTGAAGGAGGAAACCATTAAAACGGGCTAAGGGACGAAATGCATACAATGTTCCAGTGCTGGACCAGCCCATCCTTCCGTCCCGAGCACAAAAATTCGAACGATGCGTTGTCGTCGACACGACCTATTCACAAATTTGATGTTCTAACACTACGCGAAATAATTGACAGCTACGTAAAACAAATGCATCGGAATTCCCAAGTCGCTGTCGTTGGGATCAGTTCCAACTGTTTTTTTCGACGTGACTGGTCATTCTTGAAGAAACCATGATTCAGTTTATTTCGGTTCTTTTCGTAGTCCGTTTAGCCCCACAAGTACTGCGATTAAATGTCAATTGTTATGCTTGAGAAAGTGAAATAATGCAGGGGATCACGGGTTTGGTAAACTCTTTTTGAAAGATTAATACATAAAGAGGGAAGTCCGACTCTGAAAAAACAATGGAAACATTCTCAAAGGAATGCCGACTTCAGATTTTTGAGTGAAAGATAATTAGAAACTGATGAGAAGACACACTAAATAACACAATAATTATACTTGATGGGACTGAATCAATCATTTCTGCAATTCAATTTTTTTTGCTAGTGTCCAATGTGCAACAGTATCAAAGAAAATCCAAACCGGAGGAAGGATGACCGAGGAAATATTCAGAAGATGACATATCTTTGTCTGTAAAAAGAAAGTCCGAATGGTGGACTTGGTAAGACACTACCATGGGAACTTGCTTTTCCCAAGAAGAGCGACAAACGCACGAACGTCTGTATGAGTATGACGAAGACTATTTCACTAAGGTCGAGAAACGGAACTCGATCGATGACAAGAGGACTCGATGGTGGCGAAGATACATCAATTCAATCGACAGCAACTCCTCTGCTCAGCTAACAAGCCATAGTTTCGAAACAAACCAATGGAACTTTCCGGTAGACCATTGGACTATACAAACATCTGAAAGCGAACCATCGCCTAGTGCAAAGACAGATGCTTTCAGCGACATTTCTTTTTCCCTCTCGTCGCCTCCCAGCCTTTATAACATTCCTTCACCAACTTTTTTGCAACCAATTTTATTTTCCGAAACATCGACTTCGTCACCAATGCAAAACATGCCGAACCAGGGACATGTCAGGAAGTGGAATGGAAAACACAAGGGTCGTGCCTTGAAACTTCGTTTGGAGAAGCATCGTCACATTCAAATTGCTGTCACAAAGCACCATACTCCAAATGGAAGCCCTATTGCTCAATTGGCAATGGCCTCTCAATTCCCCGCTGCGGTGGATGCTCAATTCCAAACTGAAAACGATGTTTCGGAGTCATCGGTTTCTTCGCCAGTATCATCCATCCCATCACTGGGATCGAAATCATCCTCCACAGGTGAAAGCTCAATTTCTAGTAACTCAGGTGGCAGCATTTGGAAGGAGGTCATGAATGAAACGAATATTACTGCATTGGCGATAAACCGTGTGCCTTTTGATTCATCCTTCACAGAATTAGCTTCTTCAATGCTAGCTACAGGTGACGAAAGCGGAACAATAATCATAACTCAAATCACAGATGAAGAGATGCAAAAGATTGGTGACGAAGAAAGTGCTGATTCACTTTTGGAATCAATCATGGATCTAGGCAGTGGGGCGCTAGAGTTCTCTGTGGAGAGTAGGGTTCGGTCCCTTCATTTCAGTGGCTCCGAACATCTTGTGGCTGGAGGAGATGGCTGTTATGCATGGATTTCGGCAATTATGGTCGATCAATCCTCCAAGACCCTTCAAGAAATAAAAGTTATCCAAAAAATTGAAAGGATTGATCGCATTTATGCCGTACGCTTTTCTCCCAAACGAAATTTCCTTGCAGTTGGAGGATTTGATGGTAGAGTTGCAACTGTTCCAACGACAGCGATGTGGAAAAAAGAAGACGCGAAGACAAAGGAAGACGGAAGCGACGATTCGTTTTCGCAAGTGATGAATGATTCAATAATAGAATTGGATCGACCGGGTTTGATTTATTGCCTCGATTGGAGTCCTGAAGGGGATTATCTGGCTATCGCTGGCAGTGATAAAGTTTGTGGTATTTACGATGCATCAACGTTTCAATTGGTCCACGAAACAGCAAGCCGAAGCTCTGCAATCGAAGCACTCCAGTGGAGCCACGATGGCAAATACTTTGCGATCGGAGACAGAGAAGTTGCAATAGTTGATGGCAAACCACCCTTCGAAATCCAATGCGAGATAAGTCATCCCCCGAAAAGTTCTGTGATGGCACAATTTCGTTATCGCATTACTTCTCTATGCTGGTGCCCCTCCGGTTCCTTCTTGGCAATTGGTGGTAGCGATGGCCGCTGTCTAATCGTCGAGAAAAACAGCTGGACGTTAGTGTACGAACACAATCGAACAGAATGCATAAATGCTCTGGAATGGTTTCAACAGTACTTGATTGTGAGTGATAACAATCATACTCTTGCATTCATCAAGATCGGGGAAGAAACTCAAAGTTCTGAAGCTTTAGGCGATCATGCATCGGTTACCTCTAGCTCCTATTTTAGCCAAAGCACAACGAGCAGTAATTGGGTCCTCAGAGAAGACGAGTTTCGGGACCTAGAGGAAGTGACCCAGAAAGCGCCGAAAGCATTAAATTCGCGCGCCAACATCACATCGGTTGCGTTCTCGAAGGTTGGAAAAGCTAGCAAGACATCGCCGTATCTGGCATATGCTGCAGACGACTGCTCTCTGACAATAATGACTACCAGGGATTGGAAAGCAGTATACGTAAGTGCCAATTTGACCATCATTTGATATGTTAACAGTCTCGAGGACAAGCTGAATATTCCACCTCTCACAATGCGCAATGGACTCCTAATGGTATTATAGCAGGTTGAGTTCGCAAAGCCAATCCGGTCACTTGTATTTTCGAATTCAAGCAATTATCTCGCTCTGGGAGGTGACGAAGGTGTTTTGAACGTACTGTCGGTGCGAAGCAGAACCATGATTCTCAATAGTATTCTTTCGTCATCGATCACGTCAATCGCATTCAGTGTAGGTGATGAGAGGCTGGGGGTTGGAATGGAAGACGGAATGCTTGCTCTTTTGTGGCCAACCTCGAATTGGGAATCCGTTGGGGAAATAGATCAAAACGAGTCCTCGGTCATTTGCCAAGACTGGACCTCTCGATATCTAGCCTGCGGTCGCATGGATGGGTCTGTGGCTCTATTTGATACCGAGCAGATATTTAGCAACTTTTTCGTTCCGATTGCAGAGTTCACGAGCAACCACCCCACAAGATCAGTTGCGTTTACAAAAAGCGGAGAATTTTTGTCGATCGCAGGAGACGATGGTGTTGTTTCGATACTTCGTGCCAAGGATGGGTGGATAATTTCAAACAAAATTAATTTTGGGTGCAGCATTCTCTCCACCAAATGGTCGCCGGATGGCCACTACATAGTATTTTCGGGCTCGAGTGAAACATTTCTTGTTTGTGACACACGCACATGGACAATCGTCACCAAAACCAAAGAGATTGGTCCTTCAATATTTACAAACAACGCAAGTTCGATATCGTGTGTTGATTGGAGTCTTGACAACAAGTGGGTGGCGATCGGCGGAAAAGGATCGGGCATGCATCTCCTGAACACCACAGATTGGACACTTCTGGAGTCATCAGAAAATAGCCAAATATTAAACAACTGATTAAGGACCGATGCCTGATCGATACGGCAAGATTTTGTATCACGCAAATAAATTTTAGTATTCGTAGAAACATCCTAGCCACAACGCCATTATTCTGCCGATGAACTGCTGCCGATAGGATCAGCCGATATCAAAAAGCTGTCCCTACCTCCGTTCCGATTCCAGAACTTGTCTGAAACGTTTAAAATCCACCAGCTCCCCTTGTTTCTTCACCCTCCACGCTTGGTTTCTTGCTATGGATAGAAAATTTGTCGCGCTTCACTTCCATTACGAATGGAGTCCAGTGAAGCTTGGACGGATCAACCCTTGGCTCTTTCACTGGGTATTTCTTGGCAAGGGTCCTCAGCAGGCCTTCTTCTGCGGCGATGAAATACACACCGTTGATTATTTTCAAAATGCTTAGTTGATTTAGTGTGAAGACAATGTCTTCGGCCATGATGGACGTCATCTTCGAAATATCCATGATGCTCATGCTGTTGGCGTTGGGGCATTGGTTCAATAGAAAGTCAACGATGGTAGACGCCCAATACGGTTTGTAGGCCTGCTGCCCTAGATCCGACATGGGTTTCTCGGGAGAACCCACCTTTTCCTCTTTTTTCGATAGCTCGTACGAGAAGGCAATCAGAAACCGTCCGTACCCCTTTCGTTGATGGGAAGGAAACGTTAGGATGCACGCTAGGTTGTACCCCACATCGCTATATTTTTCCTTGCTGTAATACCCGACGGGGTGGAAACCCCGTTCGTCGACCTCGCAGAGGACGTAAAATAAAAAGGGATCGACATCAAAGTATAGAGTTTTGTGGTCCAGAAATAGCTTTGCAATGTAGCACAGGTTCTGACAATAAATGCGTTCTTCGAATCCGTCGACCTCGAACATGCTGAGGTTACCCTTGCGATATATCTCGTTTCCTGGTGGATGCCTCCGGTGTGCCGGCAAACGCGCCTGGAACCTCCGGATCTCTTGCTTCCTCGAAAACATTCGAAGTGTGAACTCACAAACATACAGAACCTCGATGAACCCGCGCTCCGACAAGAGTTCTTTCGGCAACGGCGAGAAGTACCAAGTCGACATCTGGTGGGGTCCTAGTTCGAGAAAGGCCACGTTTTTCACCTTGGTGACTTCCTCGTGCTCCCGGAGCGCCGCATCGTCGAGACCTTCGTGCTCGTCAAGCTCCTGGGCTGCGATTGTTTGGACCACGTGTTCCCCAACCTTCGTGCTGTCGGTGGCCGCGATTGTCGAAAGCGCCACGGTCCCCTTTTCGGCCGCCAGGCTGGGTTTGGATTTATCACCGTCATTGCGCCCCGCCGTGTCGTCGGCGTCTCCTCCCACCACGGAGGTTTTCCGCCGCAGTCGTGTTCCCCGTCTCGTTCCCTCCTGTTCCGAAGAACCGTGGTTGGCACCATCCCCGGCTCCCGAGGTTCCCCCCGAGTCCCCTGCCGCTCCCCCACTGCCACCCGCGCTTGCATCGGCGTGTCCGGTGCTCCCGCTATTGCTCTGAGACGCCGCGGACCCGGCACCACCCGGTGCGGTTGCTCGCCGACGGCTGGCCCTGGGAGCCGTGACATCGACCGATCGGGCTTCCAGCGCGGCCCTCCGCTTCTCCTCCTTTTCTTTCTCGCGCTGCAGCATCCGCTTCTTTTTCTCTTCTTCACGCTTGATGGCCCTCGCCTTGGCGTTTCCGATGCTCGGTGGCGACACGATCCTGTCCATCGAGATCCATTCGTCCATTCGTCGATTGAAATCGCGATAGTGGACGTAATAGCGCCAGATCGCGGTGCCGTCCGGTGGTTTCTTGCTCTCGCCATCGGTGCTATCTACCGCTACTCGGTCAATAATGTCGCAGAGACGGACCGAGATCACCCCCTCCCCGCTTTTGTTCTTTTTCTCCTTGGTGTTCTCATCGACGACATTGTCGTGCTCGGTAGACTTCTTCTCATCACCCTCGCCGTTAATGGAATCATCGCCCTCGTTTTCGAGCTCCTCGTCGTCCGAATCCCTATCCCACCACTCGTCGAAATTGTCGTCGTCGCAGTCCTTCTTTTCTTCCTCGAACGAATCGCCGCCGTGGTTGCCATCCTTGACTCCGTGCAAGACCTCGATCACGGATCCGCGGGCATAGGGATGGTTGTCCATCGCTGAGCCGGACCCCGAGCCGGGGGTGAGCTTGATCTGTTTGTGGCTCTTGGTGCTCGAAGAGGGAGCCGGTGTGGAGGCAGGACTCATCGCTCCAGGGTCCGCCCGGTTGCTTCCGCTTTTCTTTGTAGCAGAGTTCACAGCCTTTGAATCTTTTTGGCTGGTCTTTACCGAAGGGCTCGCTAGGGAAGCGGTTGCCTCGGTCTTGGGTTGGGAAGCATTCGCACCGGAAGAGGAGGCACCTCGCCGTTGCTTTTTAGAGGCCGGTCCACCGGAAGTTGAGGTGTCTGCGGCAGCCGCTGCTGCTGCGGTTGCTTTTTTCTTTGGGGGCATGATATGTTGTTATATATTGAGTCTCCTACTTCGGGTCGGCGTTGACTACTCCACTCTCGTAAATCATTGATTCGGAGGATCTGTCAGGTTTGGGTGTTGTGATTGCTTATGTTTTTGTTTTTTGTTGTGTTGATTCTTCGATGAGGGTTTCAGGTTTCGGCACTTTTATGCGCCGACGAGAGCAAAACACAAAACACAAACTCCAGAACTCCGAAAAGTGTGAAGTGACATTCCGTCTGTCCTTCTGACGTATCCCCGAACACGTAGTATTCCGCGACTCCGCAAAGTTCTTTGGGACTTTTTATGTTCCTCCTGGTGCCGTACCCTGTACCAGCCGGTACATGGTACGGTAGGGTCCCAAAAAATCACAAGAAGCGTCATAATTGATGACAGGAAAGACAGAAAAAAGAGGACTACAATCACCGTACAGTCCACCGTACAAATTTCTTCCGTTCCAATCAAAAGGACATAGCACACATCAGCAGCAACTATTGTTGAAACTCGCAACCGTTGCGGTAGTTGGTAGCACAGATATGGAACCGCCAGTTCTCGATGCCAATATCAACAACAACGACATTGATGGAAACCTTGTCGATGAAGACGACGGCAACGTTAGAATGGAAGAGGACGAAATAACTTTGGTAGCAGCAGACGCCACAGAACATGCTCGTGATGATGATGATGAAGAGGAGGAGGAGGACGAAGACGAAGACGAGTGCAGGGTATGCCGTGGTCCTGCGGAGGAAGGGTAAGTGAAATTGTAGATCCGTGTTTTGTGTTGCGGTCAGATCTCCTTTGTAACTGCTCTACGGCGGCCTGAGAGCGGCCCAGTGCTGGGAACGAACAAACCGCAACAGGGTCATTCTTTCAGTGGGCATTGTACCTCGATTCCTCGTTCTTGGATCTCACTTATTTCCTGTGTTCACTTTGTCCTACCAGGAGACCACTGCTTCGACCTTGCAAGTGTTCCGGTTCTATGGGATTGGTACACCAAGAATGTCTGATATCCTGGCTTGAAGTCACGAGGGGAGACGGTGAGTGCTTGCCCCAAATGTTCTAAATGGCGCCTTGGAACCGGACGAAACCTCTACTGGTGGCGAATTCATTGTTCCTCACTGCCTATGGTCTTATTCTGCGCTGAATATCATTGAATTGCTTCTGTGCGTTGCTTCATTCCGTCCCTCCACAGGGCGTTGCGAGATATGTAAACACAAATTCAAGTTTGATCCACAATACGCAGAAAATACGCCGGATCGTCTTTCGTCCCATGAGGTAATACTGGGCCTGTCGAGTCGCTTTCTTGCAAAATGGCTTCCCTTGGCACTCCGGATAGTTTTTGCTGCCATTTTATGGTTGGTGGTTGCACCCTATTTGACAAACTGTTTGTACCTTGGTTGGATCATACGGCCGTCGTCGGTTTTAGGAAGGGGAGAAACGATTGCCTCAGATACTGTCAGCGGATTGGTGATGGGCGCCACTATTATCATTAGTTTTCTCAGCTTGATGAGCTTTGCAGACTTTTTGAGAGTTCTATGGCAGGGTCCACCCGGGGCACAACAACCGGAAGAAGAAGGACAACCGCCAGACGAAGAAAGAGAAAACGATGGTTTCGCCGCCGGAGAGAATGAGGACGAAATAGACGAGTTCGCTACAGACCATAGAATTATAGAATGGATGCAAAAGAGAGAAAGGATGAAGGAAGCTACAACGAACGATATAGACGCTACAATAACAATCGGGGGGGCACTCAAAGCAACCGAAGAGGAAATCAAAACACAGTCGAAAGCGCACGTGGTTCATGAAGTCAACTCAGAGATTAAAGACGACGACAACCTCGCTGCTGATTTTGATCGAATCGGTTTGACCCGAGAAGCTGAAATGTTGAGGAACAGAGCAACGGAGCTAAGAAACCTAGCATTGGAACGGGAGGCAAGACGGAAAAATGCAGATGACGAGAGAGAAAGGGTGGGCGATGGCGACCACCATGGAGAGGAGGGCACAAATGGTCGGGTTGCACCTCTGGGTGCAGGCATCGCTCCAGCTGCCTGGCCGGACAACGACAACGACGATGCTGTTGCGTGGCTGAACAATAATAACGATGACGACGAAATACCTGAATTTGCGCCGCTTGGGGGGGAAAACCCGGATATTTTTGGTGCTAATAGAGATGTGTTGGTGGAAGATGTGGAAGAAGACGCGGAAGAAGATGATGACAGCGAAGCCGAACTGGAAGCGTGGATGAATAATGACGACGACGAAGATGATGATATCGACGATGAAATCGATCCATTTCCGCCGCTTCGTCCGGGACTCGATGATGCTGAGGTAGCATTCGACCCGCTAGATCCAGTTCTACAAGACGACCAAGTTGTAAGTGGAGAATATTTCTTGTTCCGGTTCTTTGCGCGCGCAGTATTATCCTTCGTCTTCCTAATCTTACTAGCGAATTGTTTTGCATTTTCGATAGGACATGGAGATCAACGTGGCTCTAGACGAGCTGCTCGGTCTTCGAGGTCCCATAATGACAGTTGTGAGGAATTTGCTTTGGCTCCTAGCATTTAATGCAACGTACCTTGGCATTTTTGGATTTGTCCCAAAGGCGGTTGGCTCTGTGATTTATTCGAGCGTTTTCAATACCACGGCATGCGGCAATCTTTTGAAATCTATACCGTTTGTTGCTTCAGACGATACAAACCAAACTACAGTCAGTAGCTTATTGATCTCTCTAGAGCAAGAGAGTGACAATAGAAACACGTCATTCAAGCTTTCCGACTTTGCTACTGTTACGCTAGGATATCTCTCGATGGCGTGCTTCATTGTCTCGACGCGATATACAATAATTGCTCTGCAGAAAGTTGGAAAACTAGTCGAAAGAAACCGAACCAATACCGGACGCAATCAAGATTATGCGCAGCAGTTGCAGCGTGTGCAGCGGCTTCACAACTTAGCTAGGGATGCTGGTGAGGATATAAACGACTTGAACGAGGAAGAAAACATAGGAGGAATAGGCGACTCCATTGAAACTGCGCTGGATGCAACGGTTGCTATCATCAAAGTGTGTATACTGTTGTTCATGAAGATGTTTCTCCTCCCACTGTATCTTGGATTATGGTTGGATGCATCGACCGTACATCTTTTTGGGCACAATGTCGCTGGCCGCTTGGCATTTGCGGGCGAGGATCTTTTTTCCTTCATTTTGCTACACTGGGTGGCCGGTATTACTTTCATGCTTTTGGTTACGGTGTTCTTACTGCAGCTACGGGAGGTAGCCCATCCTGAGATTTTGGCGCGCTTAATACGCCCACAGGAGCCGCAGCCGGACCTTCTTGGCAACCTAATGCATGAGACTGTGCTCACTCACATGAAGCGCATGACTTTGTCTCTTGCAATTTATGCACCACTGCTCACTCTTCATGTCACGATTCCGGCTATGCTATTTCATAAAAGTGGTCTGGACAGCATTTTTACATTCTTCCACCTCAATTTCTATCATTTGTTGACTCCCCAGCTTCAAATTCCTCTTGAGTTAATCACATTTCATTTGTCGATGTTAGCTTTGCTAGAACGTCACAAAAACAACATCGGGGGATTGCAGCATTATTGGATGAAATTCATGTGCCGCAAAATGGGGCTAACTGAATACCTCCTGCCACAACACATCGAGGCATTTGAGTTCATCGGGAGAAAAAATGTCTTTAAGCCGCAATCTAGTGGTAACTTGGACGTTGAGGTTGATCCCTTTTTTATTGAACTGACAACAAGGAAGAAGGACATTGACAAATTTGTTTTGTCTCATATTGAGAAGATCAACCCAAGCAACGATATCTCCCCATCAATAATTACGGGGGAGCAGCATCTGAACGGCGAGCGTGTGCTTTGTGAAGCTGTCCGTTCGATTTCCCTCCCTGGAAATACGGAGGCAGAAAACGGAACTATTCACCTACCAACAAAGATTGGGAGATATAGTCTCAAAATTGAAGAGGATGATGAATCTGTTGACAGTGAAGAACTGAAAATATCGTTTTATCGTGAAATCCAAGGCGAGGAAATCAAACGACCTCCTGAAGGCTGGGACGATCTTGGTGCTGGAGGTGCATATGTACAGGGACGTTGGGCTTGGGCAAAGGAACGAAAATCTTTGGTTGAAGAAAGCATTGCCGAGCGTATACCCTTTCGGGCTTCTTCGGAAGAAGCAAGATCGGTCATATTGATAACCAAAGTGGCTATTCTTGTTATCCTCAGCTGGGTTGCCTTAATTTCCACCGTTGTCTCGATCCTCAGCTGTCCCCTGGCCATTGGTAGATCTTTTTACCATCTCTTGCGGATCCCTGCCAAATATATACACGATCCTTTTGCATTCTGTATCGGCGCTGGACTCTTTTTCCCTTTTGTCTCCTGGTTGACACAGAATGTCAACGATAACGACCTCAGTTTATACCAACGTTTGCGCCAATGGTTTGGACGGTTTCAACGTCCACCAACTCCGAAAATGTTGGTTTTGATTGAATCACTCCTACTTTGGACTGTAGCAGCTCCGTTAGGGTTAGGACTATCCTACGAACTTGTGATGGTGAAGTCACCAAAATGGTTTGCGATGAAGGAACCATTTCTGGACATTAAGACTCTTGCAATTTCATGGTTGATGGGCACCGTTGTATTGAATACGTGGTCGTTTCTATTGTATTGCAAATTTTTCACTCGTCGATTCTGGTCCAATGTTGGTAATGGAATTTTAGAACCACCTCTCAATGAAGATGGCAATCCAAATCACAACGCGAGGAATAATGCCGGGGACGATGCAAATGCAGAAATAGGACTTATATGGCAGGGAAAACGGGGTCGAGCAGGACAGTTTTTCAACATTTTGAGATCTGTTATACTAGATTGGGAATGGGATACTGTGGATCGGAAGATGATGATCGATGATTTTGCAAGACCCACTACCAAAGAGATTACAAGCGCTCTAGTCGGATCCGCACTGTCATACCAATTAGCACTGCACATTCTCCTCGCAATTTTTAAAGTCCAAAAGGGAGGTTTCATGTTTCCTCTTGTCGGTTTTGTGGAAACTGGCATCTTTCGTAAAGGTTTATACCAAATTTGCATGACGGTTCATGTGCTCTTCCAGATTGGATCTCGATCGCGTGTAAACATTGATAGTTGGTTTGAAGCAGCCCATGAAGCAGCTCGTGATGATAGATACCTCATCGGGGAATTGCTTATGAATTACAATCCAGAGGGATGAAATAACTAGTAGAGGCTCTTTAGTCCAAATTAGTCTGAAAATAGTTTCCAAAAATCTCCCTTTGGTCTTGACGGAAATATAATACTGATATCGCGATTGTAGATTAGTACTGAATTGAAGTTATATCCCCAACTCTCCTCCTACCACACAGTTCTATTATTCGGCGTTTGTTGAAAGCGAATAATAAGCGTTTCTGAATTACTTTCAAAAAGTTTTGAACGTTTGCTTTTACGAGAATGTGTGAGTCAGTAGACTATGTATTACCAAGTAATTAATCACAGAAATTGACGGGGCTTTATGTTCCGGTCGATCGAGCGATTTCAAAATTTAGCCGTTAAACCGTTACGGGCCGTGAACAGAATATCAACGTGAATTTCGAAAAGCTTCTTTCAGTGGCAGTATTCTGAGAGGAACGATAAGCGACAGGCACAAAAACTACAAAAATATTTCTGTTGGTGTGACTCGAAGTGATTTCATGAAGTACGTGTTGTGAAGGCTGGGACGACCGCAAACTGCATTCAAAGAAGACAAAAAGAGACAATTAAGCGTTTCGAATAACAATCTCAAGAAACAATGGCATCCAATGCTGGTACTAAGAAATTGATAAGCGGGTTGACAACGGCGATTCGAAATCGCCCATTCGTCGTGCTCGGTGCCGCCGGCGTCGTGGGTGTGACCGGCTACAAACAGTACAAAGCCGAAAAACGCCTAGCAGAAGATGCCAAGAAAAAAAGGGTCTTGGTGTTGCCCTTTCATAGGATGAAAATCGTCGAAGAGAAAAAATCACCAGCCAGTGCTCTGTTTTCGAATCTGACGGGTTCCGTAGAGAACGGGGGTGTCGGTACCGAAAAGACGATCGAAATGCAGTCGGACGAGTTGATTACTTTGATCAAGGAAGCGGCAGAAGACCCCTCTATTGTGAGTATGTATGGGGTTTTCGGAAATGGGGGCACGATTTCAACAGGAGGGTGGGCCCACTTAGAAGAAATACGAAATGCCCTAGAAACTTTTTCAAAACCATCTTCGACGGTGGACGAAGACGACGAATCGGCAAGAACGAACGAGACGAAAAAAACGGGGAAGGCGATGCACGCGTACTCAAATACATTTGGAGGACAAAAAAGCATGCAAGAGTATTATTTAGCGAGCGCTTTTCACAAAATACATTTGCAACCACAAGGTGACTTGAATCTCTACGGATTGCACACGACAAACCTTTTCATTCGTGACTTCTTGAAAAAGTACGGCATCACTGTTCACGTGTGGAAACATGGAGTGTACAAGAACATGGCTAATCTATTCACTCATTCGTACTACAGCAAGGAACATTTAGAGAACGCCGAAGGAGTCCTCCTTCCCATTCACAAACATGTGTGCAACGCTATTTATTCAAGTCGACACGAACAACTCAAAAAGTACGGTTATGATTTCGATCAGTTTTGGAGCATGGTAGAAAATGCGGGATCGTTGCCCGCAAATGTGGCCCACCAAATCGGATTCGTTGATCACTTGCCACTTAAAAACCCACTTGACGCCCTCTTGAAAAACAACAAGCGTGAGATGCGAGTTAGAAAGGAAGGAGTTGGTGGCGTCGATACTGATGTGGACGCAAGTTCTATAATGACTGATACCACTAGTCCACCCTCCACCAGCGGTGATAGCGACGATGACAGTGCCACTGAAAAGGTAGATACTAAAAGAGAAAAGGAAAACACAGCTGTTGCGAAGAGTGGTGACGAAAATAGTAGCTCTGCTGCTGTTGGAGATAATTGGAAGCTTGGGACAGATTCGGGTAGCTTCCAAGCTGATTCGCAGATTTTCATTGACGCATATTCTCGGCAGAGGTCGAAATTGCGAAAGAAGAGAGCATCCTCCGGCAATTTGTTAGAATCTCTACTTTCGGCGTTCGGAATTGGTGATGAGGTGAGTTGCAAATAATTTTGTTGATGGCGCAATACCATAAACACTTAGACCATTCGATGGCTATTGTGTGATATCAATTGTTTTGCTTACAATCCTGAATTTGGTATTGGAAATATTACTTATCAGGATGAAAAATCAAAGGAAGTCAAAGAAAAGATTGCTGTAATTAAAATTAATGGGGCAATCGGAGAAATGACGGCTCGCAAAGCCGAAAAGGCCTTGCGAAAAGTTAAGGAACAAAAAGATATTAAGTGTGTAGTATTGAGAGTTGATTCGCCCGGAGGAAGTATTAATGCGTGCGAATCTATACATCAAGAGATTTTAGATTTGCCTCAAAAGGTTATTGTTAGTTTCGGTAATGTTAGTGCCAGTGGTGGCTACTACATTTCGTCCAGTGCCGAACGGATCTTCGCGTTGCCTTCCACTGTCACAGGATCCATTGGGGTGGTGATGATGAGAATGAATTTCAAGGACTTGGCCAAACAATACGGCATTACATTTGATTCCATTCCGACGAGCGACTTGTCAGGGAGCAATGACCCTTTCTATCCAGTCAACAAAAAGATGAATGAAAACTTTGGAAACCAAGCCGATCGCTCCTATCATCGTTTCAAATCACTCGTCAGCAGTGGCCGGAATATGAGCATGAAGGATGTTGAGAAGGTCGCAAAAGGACGTGTTTTCACAGGGGAACAAGCCAAAAAAGTTGGACTCGTGGATGAGCTGGGGGGATTGGACGAGGCAATTGACTATGCACAGCAAAACTGCACATCGAGTGGGGCTGCGCGGGTTGTAAATTGGCCTCCAAAAAAGTCTTTTTGGCAATTTCTATCTATGCTTGGCAGCGACGAGGAAGGAGCCAACAACATGGACGAGTACGATGTTCCAGATGTTGTGCACGTCGCCCTGAGTAGGTTTGTGAATCTGAACAATAGTTGGACCCCGTCCTCGCGAAACATTGAACTCGGTGGCATTTACTCTATCTTTGGGAACGGTTGCTTCGCGTGTCCATCGCTTCCCGTAACTTCTGGGGTCATGCTCACAGTTGACGAAAACGCGGCAATTCAGTGTATGCTAGAAGACGCAAATGTTTTAAAAGGAGGCTTTGCCTCTCATGATGGGACCAACAATGGGATGTAATAGCTATTAATCCATTTGAATATTCGCGCTCTAGTATTAAAAAAATGCGTTCATATGAAATAGTATATGATATTGAACAAGCGACTCTTCGGTTCAAGGTCTTTCGAATTATACGAAAAGAGGAATTCAGTCTCCGAAGCTTTGCTTTCCTTTAAGAAACGATGTTTTTCTAAAGTTTAGCTTTACCTCGAATTCGTCGGAGAGCGTGTTAAAATCTTCGATGTGCGAATCCTAAGAAACAAAGCAACCTAAGTTAATTTGGTCGAAAACCTAAACCGCCCCTTTAATATCAAAGATTCTAAATATTGTTCTAACTCTATTCATTACCGCACTCGGCGCATGTTTTTACTTCGATCGTGCGAGTCAATATTGCGTGAAACATTCTTTCTTTACGATTTATAGCCGAAGATATTGTTTCGGAGGGACTGCAAGCGTGTGTTGAAAGGTTCGTGTCTCTTGCTTTCACTCAAAGCTCCAGTCCGTACAATTTAAATATGTAGTTAGCGATCATGAAGTAACCCATAAGTCCCGCAACGTCCACCAAACTGGTCATGGCAGGTGCTGCAATCACACTTGGATCGAGGCGAACCAGAACGCAGATGAAGGGAATGATGGAACCCAGCGTAGATGCAATCATGGAAACTAGCGGCAACGTGAAGAAGAGAACGACGGCAACGTGAAAGCTAACCCCCAGGACCTTATAGGCAATGGGAGCAACTATTGCACCCAGTATAGAACCCGACAGGATACCGGCACAGCTTTCTTTCCAAACAACCTTGGGCGCATCCGATACCTTGATCGTTCCGGCACTGAGGGCTGAGAGTATCGTGCCGACCGTTTGGCCACCAGTGTTTCCACCGTGCCCCGCGAGAAGAGGAACAAACAGAGCGAGTTCGATATGCTTTTCCAGGGTCTCTTCAAAGACGTTCATGATCAAAGCGGTTGCAGAGAGCGATCCCAAGAAAATTCCCAGCCACCCCACGCGTTCCAGGCCTACCCGATAAAACGGGTCGTGGAGGTATTTGTTCAGTTCTTCTACGGTGAGTTCGACGTCGCCTCCGTGGCCGCCACCATGAGAAGCAGCTTTCGATTTGCCACCACCACCGCTTTTGGCCAGCTGTGCCTTTAAACGTTCGATCTCCTTGGTTTGGGACCGTATTGTTTCTTTTAGTTCGCCGAGGGCGGAAGCAGAGAATTTGCTGTCGTTCGACATCTTTTTTCTTCCGGCTATGATGCTGCTAGTGGTTGTTAGAGGAATGGAGGATAATCCTGGTTGTGTGACTCCTTCCACGAAAAAACTCGATGAATCCGACGACAAGAAAAGAAGCGTGATGCTGGCGACCAGCAACGTAATCTTGTTTATTGCTATAGACTTTGTGGATGCTGCCAATGAAAAGGTCGATAACTTTCGTTTCGAGCGACAGGCAATGATTGGCATGAGTTAGGGTGGTATTCAACGATTGAATTTAACTCAATGCGTACTAGTGTAGTTGCAACCGATAAAGAATAGTTGTGGTGACAATCGAATGATACTGTAATGTCTCCCATGCCGTATTTCCAATCAATCCATTCAACATCACCAAAGCAAAAAGCAAATTCAACTGATGCGTAAACCATCCTGCATACCCAGTACCTGTACGTTGCTTTGCTGTGAGGTACGTACTGTAAGAAGAATTTCTTTGTGTCAGGTGGAACTTCATCGACAACAATTACTGGTAGCGTAGTAGATGATTGAATTTTCTTTCTTGATGTTGGATTGACTTCGAAGACGTCACTCTCCGTATTATATGTATATATTGTACTCCATAAACATATTTTAAATATGTATAATAGATACATTCGTGCTTATCACCAATCAAAAAATCGTGACAACTTCGACCCATCAAAAATCGAAAAGAAGTCGTCTTCCGAAACTTCTGACGATGGTCGATGTTTTTGTTTTATCCCCAGTGCCCTCCAAAAGAATGACAAATGATCCGAACTGCACTAGGTTTCGGTAAATCGATCGGAAGGATACAACCCACATTGAAGTCTCTGCCATTGTCAATCCCAAAACAGAAATGAAAGACCTTTGCTCCGAAGCACACAACAACCAGAGCCCCAATGCTTCAAACATGTCCTACTCGTTGAGATCTCCTCGCCGCTGTGCTCTCGGAAGCGTTGCATGGTTGCTGCTGGCGGTGCTTGTCGTCTCCCATTCATCAGTCGAGAAGAATCTTCCCAGTGGGAACCATATTTTTCCAGCATTGGCTGTTTCGGCGTTTCAACAAAGTACACCGATCGGATATAGAACTAGCAGCAGCACCGGTGCCCTCTCGCGTTCCCGGCTAGCACTCGCCGACAATTCGCGGTCGACCTCCGTAGATTTTTCCTTGTCACCCACATCGGACACGGCGAAGCGCATAGTTCGCGAGAATCTGGGGTTGACCTCCAAGCAATATCAAGAACTGGCCAAGCTAGCAGTATTGGTTGACGACTGGAACACCCGCGTCAATCTTATTTCCCGGAAGGACTGCTCCCCGGAAGTCGTTTTTGGCAGGCACATATTGCCGAGCTTGGCCCCTCTGGCTCTGACGTCGTCTCTGACTGACGACAACGACGAAGAAAGTGCGTGCGCCCCCTTGGAACTGTCCGCTGGTCAGAGGGTGTGCGATGTCGGAACCGGGGGGGGCTTCCCCGGGTTACCGCTTGCCATCGCTTTCCCCGACGTTGAGTTCTTGTTGGTGGATAGCGTGGGAAAAAAGATCACCGCGGTTCAGGACATGGCTGACCAACTCGGCCTCAAGAACGTCAAGACGTACCACGGACGAGCCGAGTCCATTTCGGGAGACTTTGCGTGGGTTACCGGGCGCAGCGTGTCAGCGCTGCCGAGCTTTTGCTTCTGGATCCACCACCTGCTCGAAAAGAAGAATGGCCGCCTGGTCTATTTGATTGGCGGAGAAATCGATGAGGACATTCTAGAGGAAGCGATCGTGGACGAAGAGATCGAGGAGCTCCTCGATGTCCCCGGCGTCTCCGACAAGCGTGTCCTTGTCTTTCCCAAACCAGCGGTCGATTTCCTGGCCGAGGTGAGCGGCGAGACGCTGAAGGTTCCCAAGCGGGGCGGGGCGGGCAAGCATGGCGTCAACAGAAAGCAACAACGCGGCAAAAAGGAAGCCGGTTCGCAGCAGCGAAAAAAGAAGAATGACGCCAAGGGACAATGGGCGAAAAGAGACTCGTCGACCCCGAAGCAGCGAGGGTACAGCAATTTCAAGCGCTTCGACAGCCTCGAGAACTAGTACGGCAATAAACTACTAGTGATGAATTTGATTTGGACGTAGAGCATTTTCTTAATATTTTAATTGCCTAAAGAGGAAAACAAACAATATGAATGGTTCTTAGTTTCTCTCGAGGTTGCTCTGCAATGTAATATAATCGACATCTCCGAAACCAACCAGGCCGAACATCAAACAACCTATTGTTTCACTGAGTATCGTGTACTATTTTGGTATTATGATCGTAGATAGGTGTAGTCACATCGAAATGCGCTCTTCGTTTGGTCCGTGGGAATGCTCGGTGATAAAGTATTGTATTAGAATGGATTTAATACAATAGTCTATGATATTGTTAACAGTGGTTTCGATCGTTCATAAAATAACTCGGACCGAATTTAAAAATATTTACTTGCGATCCTACCCACAGATCATACAATAATTCATGCGGATTGTTCTCTGTATTAGTACAATAGTAAGGCAAGCGCATCCTATACGACGGTCTTGCGAAAGAGCAAACCAAAACGTCCATGGGACTCTGTTCCGCCCTAGTAGCTAGCCTTTGAAAACAATTGTTTTAGACGATGGGGCATTCGTATGGCCGTCCAGTAAATGAAAGTACCGTGGACAACCTTTGTGTCACCCCAGCAGATCCAAGCAAGATTGTCAGAGGAGATCGCGGCCGGCCTTGTCCCGGCGGGGCTTGTCTGAATACAACCCCACCTCCACCTGGTTGGGGTCGATATTGGATCCATTGTGGTTTCCGTTTCCGTTGGACTGCGGGATGGTCGAGTTTGGCGACCTCGCAAAGGAGGCCATAATTTCCTGCAGAACGCCACCGTCCGCCTCCAGCTTGTTGACGGCCTCGCTGTGGTCCCTCGTGGAGTTCTGGGCGGCGTCCCCGGCCTCTCCCCGGCGCAGTTTTATCTTGCGCGCCACATAATATCCCACGAGGCTCACCACCAGGGTGACCACTAGCCCGATAAAGACCGAAACGGCGATGTGGAGGCCACCACTTTCTGTTTTGTTGTGTGATGATGATTCGTTCGACATGGTTCCGGTGGCTGGGTCAAAATCAAAACCCGGCCAGTCCCTAGGGACGTTGCCGGTTACGAATTGGCAGTGCTGCAAGAGTTGTCGTTTCGGTTTGTGCCATTGTGTTGTAATTTGTTGGGAACGATAAAAGTATGTTCGTTGCTGCTATTGTGAGTGTTGGTTCCAATGCACAAAACTTCAACTGGATCCAAACAAGATAGAACAAAACGAAACAACAGCCACGATGTGCGCGCGCATACGAACGTGAACCGTTCTCCAGTGCTCCTAGAAAAATAAAAATAAATTCCAAAAATAGAAATAACGCACCGGTCCCTCGAACTCGGCCGGGCAGTCGCAGTTCCATTGCGCACCACCGTTGTTTGTGGACAGGACGCAGGTTCCCCGGTTGGAACAGAATGAGTGGGACGCGGTTTCCTGCTCCATCTGACAATATGTTTCCGCTTCATACTCGCAAAAGAGACCAGCGAAGTCGCCATCGCTGGTTCCACAGTCGCAGTAGTACGAGCCCTCCTCGGTTGGGTGCTCCGCGCAGCTTGATCCGTTCTCGCAGCGGTGTCCATCAGGACATTTTCGAATTTTTGACATGTCGTGATTTTTCTGGATTGATTCCCTGTTGCTCTATTTTAATCCGGTTCAGGAGAACGTTTGGTTGTGTTGGGTTGGATCTGTTCAAATGTAATCTCCTTTGTCTTCTCACTCCAGCAAGTTTATCTCGTCCGTCTTTCTTTTTGGTGACGACGACTCACTCAACAAGTACGAGTTGTAGGAGCAGCAGGTATTTTTTGCAGTTATTTCAAAGCGGTACAGTCGTCTCTCTCAGTACCGTACCCTACGTACCGTACGGGACGTAGTACGGCATGCATGGCACCATAATGCCCCTCCGTTTCAATTACGGGGACGAGTACGAAAGCCGAAGGGTACAAACGTTATGTTACCGGCAGCCATCACGGTAGGATGACCCGCGAGGGAGCATTGGTTCCGTGGAAAGAACCACATGAGGAACTCCGATGACAATTTGAGTCTTGTATTGCAGGAACCCAACGTGCTGGAAACAGAATGACTCACCCACGCGGGATTGATTTATTTTAGTCAATCGGGTCGAAAACTGCTAACGAGAACGACGAGGATCGGGAAACAAGAAACAGCACTTGTAAAAAATCATCAAAAGGATTTTTTGGCACACCGCCTTACCTTCAGGTACCAAGTTCGGCTAAATAAAGTACGAGTGCTACTACATGTACCTTTTTGGAGTGTCACAACAACCTTCGACTGTAGCAAAAAACATTCTCTCAGTCATTCGCGCTACAAACAATCCAATACTTGTCGTACTGTCATATCATAAATACGTGTGAATATTGTGATAGCAATCATACCAAAATCGGTCTTTATAATATCCCAACTGGCATTCAAACTGGCCTCCTGTACACTAGTTTTACAACACGACGAAGGCGGTCCAATCGGTCATTTTTGTCGAAAACATTTCTCGGAAGGAATACACAACGGCATCATACTTCCAGCGTGTTGCCATCTTAAATACGATACGATACACCGCAATAAGAGCAATGAAGATACTTGTCAATAGCCGGGTGGCAATCGCTTGCCTCCTCTTGGGGTTCGAAAACGGCAGCGGCGGCTTCGTAGCCGAATCCCTATCGCACACTACGAACGCGGCAACAACGAGAACAGCGACAACACCACACCTGCGGCGATCCGAACGAACGGTGACGATTCACCGGAACCTGCAAGAGGATGTTGGCGAGGGTCAAACGGAAGAAGCGCCTCCTCCACCGGCCGGGGAGGCCGTCGAGCCCAAACCCACCGCCGAGGAACCACCACCGGCGGAAGTTCCTATTGAAAACGGGGGTCAGGATGCGGCTGCCGAGGAGCCACCAGCTGTTGTGAATGCCGAGCCTGTGCCAGAGGTTATTGTGAATTCTGAGCCTGTGCCAGAGGTCGAACCCCAAGCTGAGCCCCAGGCCGGGGACGAGCCATCCATGGTGAACGCAGAGGCTCAGGGTGAAAACGGGACCGAGGAAGCGGCGGCGATGGAATTGGGCGGGGAAAACACGGAATCCACAGAGACCGAGGGATCGAAGGACAACACCGAAACCGTTGCCGAGACAACGGAAGAGGTGAAAGAAGAATCGATCGTTGAAATACCAGAGCCCACCCCTCAGCCCATCCCTGAACCCACCCCCTCGCCGGTTGCGGCACCTACCGAAAAGCCCACGGTCAAGCCCTACGTCCCATCGAACGACTCGTACGATCCCGTCAAGGCGGAGGACGAAAAGCACGCCGAGGAACAGGAGCTCCAGGAACTGGAAACGGAACTTAAGCAGGAAGAAAAGGTCGCCCGACAGGCTGGGGGCCTCGGGATATTTTTTGGAATCCTCGCCATGATCTTCACTGCCCACCAGATGAGCGAGAATCCCGATGGCCTCTATGCGAGCGTCTGCCGGCTGGCCATAACGATCTCGTCGGTGGTCGTAAAGATCATCTGCATGCCGTGCCGGAAATTGATGGGTGTGGGTGGCGGTGGAAACCCCTACAGCGGCCACATGCCGATCAGCACGAACGATTACAGCTATAGGAATGATCCGTATCGCAGCAACGCGAATGCCGGATTCGAAATGTCGTGATGATAATGATGATGAATGAAGGATCGGCCGATTTCGATCAAAGAGACGATGTATTTTATGGATGAATTACTTTCCTGCAACCTAAAGTAGTGTACCACGGTTTCGATGAATGCTAGAATGAATAAGAATATTGAATTTCCCTTTTGCAATACACGGCGTGGTCTATCTCTGTTATCGACATATTCTTTGTTCAAACTCACCCAAAACTTCTCTCCTATCACAGTACGCATGGCAATGTTGTCCTCAATAATTCACCATTGAAAACGGTGATCGCTTTATTGTTTGTGTTGGCCTTGCGAAGAAGCAACATGTCATACATGTGCTTCGCAAAATCATCTGACGTAGGAAAAGAAAAGCTAGATATTCTCAACGGGAAGTTCCGGAGAGCGCAAAAGCAAAAGAACATGATGACATTTCTAAAATTATTTATTCACTACAAATTGTTTTTACTTTGGGTTGTTCTGCAGTCCTCGTGTACAAGGAGTGTGGAATCCATTAGTGAATTTGAAAGCATTATCTTATGTACTCTCAGGTGATGCTTTCGACTGTCTCAACAAATTTGTGTTTGCATTTTTGTCTTCGTTTCGTTTGCCAGGACCTAAGGTTCAGGTTCATCGTCGTCGATTTCTGGTATGCGCAACCCGACACCTACGTCGGTGAAACTTCTATCGAAAGACACCACGGCCTTTTTGAAATCTGCGTATTTGTATCGTATGACCTGTCTGGATCCCCTCACCAGCTTTCGTTTTCCGAGATAGTTTGCCGTGTTGACCTTTTGGACCGGAAGGCCGTATATTTTTGTCAGGTATTCTTTGATCTCGTGCTTTGTCATTCGGGGCAGCACACGGAAGGTAGCCCGTGCTGGTTGTCTCGCGGTGGCATTTTTGGCGGATACCAACATCATGGGCATGTTTGGCATCCACATGCGGAAATTATTCGAGAATCCGGCGAGCATTTTCTCAAACGTCCACGATGCTGGTTTGCTCTTGAGAGTTGTTTTGTATGTTCACGACAGGGGTTGTTGCCAGTTGCTCGTCTTTCTTTGAGAAGGTATGCGGTGTCGTCCGCTGGTGGATAACGGTATTTGCGCAGTCGTCTTGCTGCGGGGATATTACGGATGCGTCTTGCTGATTGGGACAATGGTGTAGCTTGAGATACAAGAGTGCCAGAGCGGTAATAAATGATGGATCTGAATGCTATCTGCGGTGCCATCATAGTCGCCCCGCAACAACACAGTCTTGCGAATATTACTCCTACCTGCACTCACAATTCATGTGGAGAAAGCTAGACGAACCTTTTCCGTCTGTCCTTTGTCAGCCTAGAGGGGAATATCGTCCCCCCAAATCTTTTTTTACCTTAAAGGGGGAAAGGGATAAAGTAATGATCCCTAAATTCATTGTTTTTGTCCTACTTCTTTCTCTGGCGATAATCGCGAGCATGGAGAAATTCAAGTTTTCGATAGTCCATGAGCGATTCTTGATTGCCCCCCAACACCTCCGCCAAACTTGCGAGTTGCCTACGAAAGAACAAGGAGGAAGGAGTCGGCACCTGCCGATATATTGCAAATCTGAAACCTCTTAGGCACTCCGAAAGAATTGAACTTTTTCGTGGCATGACACATGACGCCTTGTACGAAGACCGAGGTCCCGCGAAAAAGATCGGATATGGATACATGACATGAAACGGCCATAATATTCAAAAACGAGAATATATTCTGTTTAACGATTCATTCAAAATAAATTATATTGATAGTACCGAAAACCATGGGGGGAGGAAATATTTGCTATTCGCTCTGTTGTAAGTTGATTCCACGCAATGTTACTCGCTTCAGCTTGTATCAATCCTTTTTCCAACCAACTTAACAGCCGATGTTCGTGGATCGATATGGTTTCTACCTTAGGGATCATTCTTCTTTTTTTCGTTGCGTGGCCAATCGCTGCCATTGTCGCTCCATTCTGGATTTTCCTCATGCCGTTGGAGCCTTTGTGCAGTTTGTTCGCCGACATCAATGGGTTCCTCGAACGGTTTGTCAAATGTAAGTTGATGGGAAAGAATAGTGACGAACGCCAAGTCTCGACTTGTCTGTGTCGTGTGCATTCGAGCTGTGGAAAGCATTATCTGTTCTTTCAATCATGTTCTACCAAGTTCTCGCCGTGAAATAAAAACCTCAAAAATCATTCCTTTATTGTGCTTACAGGGCCCCGTGATTTTGGTGAGGCAATCGCTAACTGCTCCTCCAACTGCCCACAACCTTGATTGAAATGTGGAGAGCTAAAATTTGCGAGGTCGAAGATTGTCCAAACAATAGAATCACAACATCTAATAAATGACCATGGTGTACACGTTTCTGCGCACACTCCTTCGAATCAAACTCAGGTCTGTCGAAGAGGGACATCGTGGTAGTGAAAACATAAATCGAAGAATCAAGTATACCATCAAACAATTTCGTATTCATTATAGACAAAAAGTCCTTCAAATCGCCACACGCTTACGAACAGCCATAATTCTTTAAAAGTAAATATTGAAATATTAACTGCTTTTCTGAACGCGCTCGTCGATTCGTGTCAATGAGGCGCGGGTTTGTTTCGGTTTACCTAGTGCTTTCCTGCAATGGGGGGGGTTGGAATTATCCTGTTTGTTGCGGATATACGAGTTGGCTATTTCGTAATTATAGCACCGGGGGATGAAAACAAATTACCAAAGTCTTCAAGTCGTTGATTTTGATATTGCTTCGTGTTACGAAAGAGAAAAATTACCAGAAACCCTTCTTCTTAGGGGGCTCGGGTTCGGGGATCTCTTCAGCTTGAAAGAATCTATCGGACGAATCATCGTCGCGGACGTACCAGAAGTACTGAGCCATGGGAATGATGAACGATCCGACGACAAGAATAGCGAGGATGGCGGTGTATTTTCCTAATTTTAAGAATGAGGAATAGAAATCACACAATTAGTGCTCAAACCAGCGAGATCAACCTGCCATGTGGTACTACAGAAGCTCATTCTACTCGATGATCTGTACAGTGCAGTACGAAACTTACCCTTCTTCGACTTGGTTTCTTTGGCACTCTTGAAAGTGGAACGGGCATCGTCCAAGGTTTGTTCTTCAACCTCGACTTGGTAGTCCTGGTAGAGTCCCTCACGAGTTTCGGTTCTAGCTACGATGTTGGTCGTGGAGAAAACGGGTTGCATGTCCATGGCATCGGCCACAACAGGGGTGGACAAAACGCTGGATCCAATGGCAATGGCAGCCACGGTGTTCATAGCAGCCTTCTTCAAATCGACCAAGACAGGCTTKTTTGCGGCCTTGTTCGCCTCTGCAACAAAAAGTTAGAGAGACATAGCGAAGGATATCGTATTGTGAGCCGGCGAAAGACAACACAGTACTCGTAGAACCACACAAACGACTCCGATTTGGACAAAATTCAAACACCCAAAGATCGGTGTCAAGTCCCAGCTGCATCAGCGTCGACGATTTCGATATTTCACGTACGGGGCGAGAAGGCTTCGGCGCCGAAGGCTAGGGATAGGGCGAGAATGATGGTCGAGAGCTTCATGGTTGTTACTATGTCTTTTTCAAAACGATGTATGAGAGATGGAGATGTCGCGAGACCTGTGATTGGCTTCGATTAGAAAGGATGTTGTTTTCCGTTTTCGTATTGGAGATCCAATTAGAATCAACAACACGATGACGCTGTTTGAGTGTCGTGTTGCTACGTACGGTACAACTTTCAACCAGTGTAGGAGGATAAAGAGTATCCTCAGCAGATGTGATTCAGGCAAATCGTACGAAGACGAGTAGAACGTACAATTTGTACTGGTACAACGGTTTGTACAGTGATTTGTATGATAATGATTGATTCAATCGACTAAATAATTGAAAAGAGTTCACTACCCTTCTTACGTCATTGACACGGGATGACGGGACTGAAATGTGACTTAATATTTTTCCGATCGATAATAATTTTGGATGCAGACTTCAGAATTACTTGAATGCAAGTTTTCGTTGAGCTCGCGGCTTGAGGTAAGTAATTGAACGGTAGTAATCGTATCATGCATCGTATCATGTAGTCATAAACCATAGGTTAGATTATTAAGTTTCGATTTTTCATTTTGAACTTCGTTTCAGTTGAATCAAAAAGCCGCTACCTCCTCATCTACAACATCAGGCTCTTCCAACTTATCCATAGCCGATTTGATCAGCTGGTTATCCTTGGGATCTAGATCCAATGCAGTTAAAAAGCATCTCATAGCTTGTTCGGGTCTTCCGAGACGCTTAAGAACCTTCCCCATGGCAAAGTGTACCGTTGCCTCCCTTGGCGCAGCATCCCTGACCTTTTCTAATTCCTTCAGTGCCTCCTCAGGACGATTCTGTGCAACATAAATTGTGGCCCGCTGGAATCGAGCTTGTGGGTTGTGAGGATCCAACCGGAAGGCCTCTGCCAACGTGTCCAAAGCTTCATGTGGCTTGCCATTAGAGTATTGAGACATACCTAAATTACAACGCAATACCGAGCTTTGTGGATTAATCTTCACAGCACGTTGAAAGTGATATTCAGCGAGGTCATACTTTTCTTGCCTATGATATATAGCTCCCATCCCATACCAAGCATTGTAATGGCGTTCATCCAATCGAATCCCGTTTCGAAAACATGCCATGGCCTTCTCAAAATCTTCATTCGCCATGTACTCGTATCCCGAAAGAGTATGCGTGTATGTAAACGAAGGATCCAATTGTAACGATCTTCCAAAGAAGACCAGGGCCGTTTCATGCTCCTTCTGCAAAGAAAAGCAGTTTCCAACCACACACCAGGCTTCTGGTGACAATCGATCAAAATCTACAGCTTGCTGAGCCAAATGAGCAAGCTCCACTTCCTTCTTCAATTGCCAAAGGACAGTAGAGAGAAGATCGAGACCCTTCATGCGATGTGGTTCGACCCCCTGCATCGTTTCAAGACAGCGCTGAGCGTTCTGGTACTCCGCCATTTCGAAGAATGCACGACCTTCTTGATGAAGAACCCAACCCGTATTGTGATGTACATGTGGTAAAACTCCAAAGAGCTGCAATGCTTCTTGGCATCGGAACTAGGTACAGTTTAGACATTTCAAGTAAAATATATGTTAGGTGACCGTGGATCCATCATGACTACAAGTTGTTCAAATGTTGCGATATAGTACTTACCTGACACAGTCTCCAATAACCAGCACCCATCAAGCAAAAAAGTTCAAGAATATTTTGGATTGAGCCGTCGTGCTTTTCCATCATCTCATCTTCTTCTATGTGAACGGCGGCCATTGCTGTCGTAGGCTTTTCATTTTCTGACGGAAACGAAGACGATTGGCCTCCGCTCTCTTCTGTCATCATCATCATGCTGTTCTGTTCGGAGTCGTCCCCTCGGTTTTGATTATCCATGATGACGTTTTCTTCCTCCTCTTGTTCACACAATGGAGGCCGACCGCTCATGTTACGACGACGAAAGTTCTCTTCGTCTTCGGCGTGCAATTGGTCGCCTTGGTCTAAATCAGCCCCATTGCCGATGCTGTTGCGTAAATTGTGTCTTCCAGACCTACTTTCAGATAAGAATAAAGCCCGAGGTCTTCGGGCAGTAGACACATCCGAGGGCCGCCCCGCCCCCCTCCGCAAGGGTGTTTCAGAAATAGTTGATTCTATCGACCACAATGCTGACTTTCCTCGCAAATATCGACAATTTGCTGAAGGAGCACCTGGTCCTACTGTTGTTTTCCCGTGGTATCTACTCTCGTCTTCTCTATTGGATCCGTTATATGGGGGGGTTTCTGGTGTAGGTTGGTAGTACAACCGTGCGGCTACGTGTTTTGCTCGTCGAATAGTGTGCGGATTACGTGAGTCAACGAAACCTCCGGCCATGAAAGAGTCCCTAGTTTTATGCATCGAAATAGCTGAATTGGGATGTGCAAATGACGCATCATGCTGCATTGGGATCGGTGTGAGATTCGGCGTATCAAATTGAAGTTGATTGGGAAGAATGGCACCTCCACCTGTATCTGTTCCTGGTTTTCTGGTAGATTTTTGAGCTGTCTGAAAAAGCGAAGCCTTCGGTCCGATAGATGTTGGAGTACCCACTACATCCATAGTACGCGTGTTTCCTATACCTGTTCCTCCCATCGTTGTAGGCGGAGTGAAGTGATGGTGAGGTGTCATGTGAAGTGGTTTCTCCTGAAGCGGCATTGTCTCTTCTCGGGTGGCATTTGCTTGGTTCTGTTTGTTTTGTTGGATCTGCAGCTGATCGATTTCGGCCGGTCGAACTCCGAACACCGATGTTGGATCGATATCGACTGCTCCCATTTCACACAAGGCCTCGTAACTCACCCACATGAGCGGATCGAGCTATGTTTTTGACAAAAATTTGACGGGAGCGAAACAAATCGACCAGAATTAAAAGGCGGACAATCGACAAGAAACAAAGAATTTGTCAGTCAAAACGAAATACATCGGAATCGCAGTGTGCGAAAAAAACTAAAATCGACAAAAATACACACCTGAAGCGACATGCGATAGTATTCCATAGCTCTGCGTCTTCGGTTTGAACTCCTGCAAATATTTCCAAGCAGGTAAAGCCCCGCGGCTCCATTTGGAATAGGACAAGGTGAAGTCTCCATCAACCATTCGTCCATAGATAGGATGCCATTCCTGTCTTTGTTGTTGTAATTACTTCCTTGGTTTCGATTTATGTTCTTGTATTCCTTGTAGTCGACACGTGCTGTTTCTAAGAGTTCATCTTCGGCTCTGCTGTACTGTTGGAGCTCAAAACAGCACTTGGCTATGAGATACGCAGTGGCGGACTGGTGATATTTTGTGCATGCACCCCCGCTTGACGACTTGTGAATGTTGTTTGAAAGAACACTTAGGGCACGCTGTGGTGCTCCAGAGCGATAATGGCAAACACCTAGCAGATAATAAGCATTCGTTGTCTTGCAGCTTGCTACCATCCTTTCTGCCAAAAACGTGGCATTGTCCAAACACATCACTTGCAGATATTCCTGAATCAATGATGTGTACGTTGCCTCCAAATTCCGTAGGTCCGCATCACGCTGCATCGGTACATTGGTTTTCCTAGTGTGATTGTTCCCCATTGCTTCTGCACCGCGGTGAGGTTGGGGCTGCGGAGGCCTAGATGAACTCATGGATACAAACGTTGGAGCCCCCATGGTGATATTGCGTCAATCGCTCGACTCCTCCGTTTCGTTGGTCGACTCCTTCTACTTCAAGAGATTATGATGCCCCTTCGATAGCCAATCGACGTGAGGTGTAATCGCTGGTGTCGCTGGTGCTTAGCCAAGAACTTTTTGGATGTATGTTTGTCGGTGGAGGATGAAACATGCGATGGAATGAAGACTCACCTCGATTAGGAAAGGGAAGCTGCTGGTCTGTCCGGTACGAGCGATGTTGCTGCTTCTTTTTTGGGTCTCGGTTTGAACGAGAGCTGGTCGGTCACGCGAGCAAAGCTAAGCGCTTCAGCTTGTTTTCAAATTGTTTTGAAATTGAGAAAAATGTTTCCCCAGAAGTTCGGGTCGTATTGCGGTACGGTACAAACCTGCCTTACCGTTCGGTAACGCATGTAAGCTCTAGTAGTATTCTCTAGTAAGTCTCGTACGTTCCTACCGGTACGAGAACTGTGCCACATTTACTTCATTATGACCGTTGCGGCTGATTTGCTTCTCGACATGTGATATGTACGTACGCTATGAATAGCTCGTACGTATGAGTTGAACGCCTACCCCACGACTAGACACGCATCGCGCTAGTAATTACTTTATTTGAATTTGGAGTAATGTAAGAATGCGATCATCAATCTTCATGGTTACGTACAGTACGTACGGTACTGACAAATCCATGACCCTCCGTCCCTCACTAAGTTTCTTTTCACTCCTATGATATTGGCATACTTACTTCGGTGTCTCGCGAATTGAATTGTTGTCGACGTATCCGTCCGAAAGACATTCGAAAAATGAAGGCCTTTCCTATCTTGACAGCTACCGCTTTCTGCTTTTCGTCCCCGTTCTTGCTCACTCTGGCTGCGGGTGAATATGTTGGAGGAACGTTGCACGAGACTCCCATAGATTTGGACGATGATTCATTCCAAGCCGCGATCGAAGATTCGGCCAACCCATTCTGGTTCCTTAAGTTCTATGCCCCTTGGTGCGGCCACTGGTAGGTTCTCTTCTATATTTCAATTGATCTGTCTCTTCGGTTTTCAATAGTTTAGGATCTACATTCTGTACTCTCACTACTTCTCGCGATCTTTCCGTGACAACTGACGAAATATGACTCGCACCCAAACAGTAAAAAGATGGCGCCTGTCTTAGACTCTGTAGCACCAAAACTGAAAGGAAAGATGGCAATCGGGAAAATTGATTGTACAAAACACAAGGCGGTCTGCAAAGAACACAAGGTCAGGGGATTTCCAACACTTATGTACTCTGTCGACGGAGAAGTGATGGGGGAATACTCGGGCGGTCGCGACGAACTCGATATCATCAACTTTGCCCAAAAGATGTCTGAACCAGCAGTCCATGAAATTCGTCGACTAGAGGAAGCCAAGATATTTGCGAAAAAAACTGCCAGCGAAGGGATCGTTTTTCTTGGAAGTGGGAAAGCAGACTCGAGCCTGTGGAAGGTATTCGAAAAGGTTGCAAGAAAAATGCAGGCAAATGCCTACTTCTTGTGGATGGAACAGCTAGAATCACCGACTGATGATGGGAAGGATTATTCATATGTCGATCGAATCGAGGATGGAGTTCTAGAGCCCAGACGGTGGGAAACGACCGCGGCGGATCTGACAGAGGAAAATTTTTCGGCATTTGTCAAGGATCAAAACATCCCAACTCTTACCAATATCACACCCCAAAACTTCAGGCGAATTAGCAGAAACGGGCGCCCGCTCCTGATGGCTATTGTCGACATGGAAAACGATGAGCTTGTGAGCGGCATCAGAGCGCACATGATGGAATTCATCTTGAGAGCACCCCAAGAATACGTTGAACAACGGTATTACGGACTCTTTGACGGCAAAAAGTGGCAAAAATTTTTGAAACAGTTCGGTGTGAAACAAAAAGACAACCCTCAATACTTAATGATTGCGCCTCTAGATTCTCCTGGAGAAAAAACGTTCTGGAGGAATGAGACGTACACAAAATTTCCTGAGTTTCTGAAAGCAATCGAAGATGGAAGTATTCCGCCTAGACACCCAGAGAAAAAGAAGCTTACTGATGATCCATTTGGTTGGTTAACGGAGAAGTTTCAGCAGTTTTTTCCTTACAGTATCATTCCTATTTTTATCTTAACTGGCTTAATTGTCTGGGCAATCACTCCATCGATCGACGACTACGAAGACTACGAAATCACCGAAGACCAAAAAATGACGGAAGAGACAAAGAAAAACAAATAATGATTGAATGATTTTCAGATACGAAGTAAAGTACTTCTAAAAGGAGAACTACTAGCATTACCACGGTCCGTTCAAATTCTTGCACCTGGTGGCCGAGATTGAAATTGTTGTCAGTTAAACAATACTTCTAGTTACTACTTTGAGTACAAGGAACCTTCTTGTTCCAAACGTCATTTCTTTTATAGAAGAGTTGCTTCCACCAGTTCCATTCATCTCCTCTGGCACATTGCTACTGAAATTTTATAGAAAATTAATATGAATGAAAATATATGCAGGAGGTACATTATTCGATTATTACTATCTCCAGCCATACTAGTTCTACTAGTAGTACTAGATATGTACTACTAGTGCAGATTTTACTAGTAGTTCTACTAAGTTAAATCCAAGAACTCATCCTATCAATAAGTGAGGTATAGTACACTAGTACACTACAGTGCACGCTTCTGCTAGTACTACTAGTACTTGCACTACTTTCTAAACAAGGGGTGAAACATATTATGTATTTTGAGACAGCCCAAGGTCATACCACTAACTCATATGAAGGAATCACTGTACTAGTATGTACAAGGAGAAGTTAGTACTGTACTTGTAATCTCAAAACATCAAGACACATATTCTGGGATATGAGAAGAAAAAAAGAAATTTGAGGCCAACAAGGAACCATGTTGATTTTGATTATTTGGGAAAATTTGAATTTTCCAGACCCCCGTTCTGATTCTTCTTATGTGATTGATTTTGATTACAAAAATTGTTGTGATCAAATCCGATCACAATTTTTTTGTATCCATAGTATAACCAATAATATACCAAGCAGGTATAAATTAGATATGTACATAGTATAGGACTGCATACTTTGGGTAGTACTAGTACTTATATGATCAATACTGCAACAATTAATGATATTAATGAATAATTACACCATGATTAATTGATATGAATAATTAATCAAAATAATAGTGCTAGTAGTATAACAAATTTGTTATTTTTTCAAGAATTGATTAACTGCTGATCTGCATGATATGATACAGAATTGTAAGACATCAAACTTTGTATGGTTCAGTCCTTTTAGTGTAATTTTTCAAAAACTGTTTGCTCTCTCTTTTTGTGCAATGTTTTTCAAGTTTTTCAAGGACAGATCAAGTGTTAATCTGCATGATATGATACAGAATTGTGGGACTTCAAACTTTGTATGGTTCAGTCATTTCAAGCATTATTTGTCAAGAACAGTTCAATCTTCTTTAGTGTTATTTTTCAAGAACAGTTCCCTCTTTTTGTTGAGCATTATGTTTCTTTAAAGAACCAATCAAGCATCAATCTGTGTGATGATATGATACAGGATTGTGGAACTTCCTTTGAGCTTTGTATGGTTCATTCTATGATTTGAGCATTATTTTTCGAGAAGGGTTCAATCTTTTTGAGCATTATTTTTCAAAAACAATATTTCAAAGTTTGTATCACCAGGTGGTTGATGGCTTCCCCTTGGTGTTCAAATCTGTCATAGGGGGGCCTGCATCAACCATCAATCTCATTTCTAAGAATTATTACATTCCTCCAAGAGCAACATCTATTCCATATCAAAGCACTCTATCCAAGGAACCAAAGCTAAGTGCAGTATCCAGTACTGTGTCCACCAAGTCCAATATACAAGTGTGACTTTGGTATTAAGAAATTGTCTGCCAAATCTTTCAACTAAATCAAATTTTTATTTGTGGATTCCCATCTAAATCTAGTCAGCTTTGAATGGGGGTCAGGGGTTGGATCAAAAATGACTTAATTTGGTCAATCTAGACCTAATTTTTTTGTCAGTCTGTCTATCAAATCTAGTCAATCTAGCTCCACCAGTATACAACAAGTTTACTGTCAACAACAACAAGAATGAGATCATGGAAGTTCCTTCTTATCCCAGTGGCAAGCCAACAGGGAAGAAGAGGGAGGTCAATCCAGTCTGTGCTATTGGGATGGTCCTCTATTGGTACAGGACAAGAGGATCTGTTGCAAGAGCAATGGCAATGGCCTTCAGCTTGACATCCACAGTGATATACAAGTGGCTCAAGTTTTCAAGGAGAGTTATGCTTATTGCTCTTCACAAACACCCAGATGCTATGGTCAGTGTTCCAACTGAGCATGAAGTGGATGCTTATGTTAAGACTATTGGAGACAAGTATCCAAGACTTGCAGAACAATGTGTTTGGGCTGCTGCTGATGGACTCAATATTGCCATTGAACAGTCACAGGACTGGTATGAACAAAGAGCATTCTGCAATGCCTGGAAGGAGAACACCTTTGTCAATAGTGTGTTTGCCTTTGCCCTAGATGGTAGAATCAGGATAGTAGTAGTATACAACTGCCCTGGGGCCTGGCATGACAGTGACATTGCTGACCATGGTGTCAATAAAAGGATTGAGGAGGTCCATGGCGTGTACAATGGTGCAAAGGTTGTGGTGGACTCAGTATTTGCATTGAAGCATTATATGCATAGCCTCATCAAGAGCTCACAGAGGGATCCTGACAGAGACAGCCTCCTATTGTTGAACAGGGACACCACATCCTTAAGACAGATGTTGGAATGGGGGATGAGGATGATCCAGGGACAGTTCCTAAKGATCAAAGAACCAGTGTTCTTGTTGGAAGAGCTTGGAGATAGGAATATCCTCATGAACCTCCTCATCAAATCGTACAACTTCCAGTGCAGCACCATAGGACACAACCAAATCCTATCAACCTTCATGAAGACCACTGCAGCCACTACCAACAAGGTTCCCTATCACAGAGGAACTTGTTGAGGGCTTGTTTCATGTAGGAAGTGACCTGACACCAGACAAATCCCATGGTCAATTTGTTGGATTGGGTAGTTGAAAAGAAGGCAGTTTAGTAAGAATCCTGCTCCGACATATTTGACAACAACGCGAGTAGGTGATTGAGATTTATAGCCTTTGAACCGTGATTTCTTCCCTCCTTCTAGTTCCCAACAACCAAGACAGTAGAATACAAAAGGGGTTCTGATTGCAGAGGCACGATAGTGGTACAATTTATAGCAACAATAAAAAGAGTAAATGAAGAGAAGAAGAATAGCAAAAACAACAGAACAAAAGTTTGTTTTGATGGAACAAAAAATATTTTGTTCAGTGGTGTATGGAAGGAATGATTGCAGATTTAAAGCAGGATGGGTTCTGTGCAGATGAAGCAACATCACAAAAGGAATGAGAATCAGAAATAATTTCCCTATACATACCCCTACCCTTGAAAGCAGTAAATAGACAAATAATCTTCATTCCAATTGGTCAAATCAGAACTTTTTGGAAATTGAGGTGACCCAGATGACAGAAACTTTCTGAAATTAGATGCCCCTGAACTGGGTGGTGTATTTTTATAAATTTAGTTGCACAGAGGCATTTAATTATTTCAAAAGGTGCATACTATTCTCAAAACTAATGTCAAGCAAGGTTGGAAGAGATCCAGAACACTCTCTTGGACAAAGAGTTCACAGTTACATTGTAATGAAGACAATTCTATGATACACAACAACATGTGCATGCCAATCAAAAGGCAACTAACTACATGCACATGCTGAGTGAATCCCTGTTTTAGTCATGTCATGTGCATGCTGTTGTAACCCCCCCCCCCATAATGTGCTAATCTGGTATTGGGGTACATAACTAAAAACCTATAGTACATGAAAACGGACTCAACTAATCCTACTGCTTGTTAGCTAGTATTCCTACTGAGTATTGCATAAAAAAAGAACTGCTGTTTGCTCAACTACTACTAGCTCATTCAATTAGAACTGTACTGTTCAGTATCAATTAGTTTAGTTTAGTTTAGTTTAGTTTAGTTTA